TACAATAACTTGGAATGTGTTCTTGTAATAAGCATTAAATAATGCTAAAATGGGACATTTTCAATGCCTCACTGCTCCTTAAAGAGCATGGGCACCCCCTTTTTTATTTCATAATTAAAGTTCTCATATGATAAACATTCATTGGACAAAGTTTGAACAAAAATCTATGTGCAGTTTATTTCAGGGGAATTACCTTAAGGGTCAGGGGCCTGTTTCTCGAAAGTCCTGGAAACTTCTCAGGCCTGTAGAGCCATTTTTAATTTATCTGTATGTAAAAACTGAGAGGTGGCTATGCCTGAAACTTCTTGTATGAAGGGAACCTCTGTTGATATTGTGAATATATGAATAAAGCAGCTCTGTAATCATGATAAGGCTTGAGATTTTGCTACGGCTTTCTGGTTGCGAAAACTTTTCGGGACCTTCAAGAAACAGACCACAGGTCTTAGATAAGGTATCAAATGTTTAGTTAATTAAGGTCATGATCATACTGGTTCCAGATTTTGGTCTCAAATAGGGTAAGAGTTTTGGGAAGCTGGCTGCACACCCCCCACCCAATTTTTCTGGGACAACCCCCAGGGACACAGAGATTTTCTGAGCACAAAGTTTTTCTGTCAATCATCGATCACTACTAGCTCATACCTGAAGGTGACGGTGGGTAATAAGCAACATGTGTATTGTTTTCAACACTTTTTAATGCAGCCATGGTAAGTGCAGTCATGTTCACACTGCTGGCATTTTGAGAACTACCAGGCTGTTGATATATCTTTTTCAAGTCATCTTCTGAAACTAAACTATCCAAAACAGCCCTTGGCAGATCTTTGGATGACAATGGTAATGAGTCAAAAGTGCCTGCAATAAATAACAATGCCAATGAAACCTTTGCAATGTGTAAAACTGGCATACTACATTACACTGCAGCATATTATTGACCTGAAGGAAAAAAGAAATGAATTTCAACCCCGGAACAGTGTTAATAGGACTAAGAAGGTTTCTGTTTAATCTACCTTATTTTCAACAAAAGCCCCCTCCCTCCCCCCACCCCCCACTAGCACTTCTGAACACAATATGCACTGTCAACCAGCTCCAATAAACAGAAGAAAAACACTTATTCTATGGTAACTGTTACCTAAGTTTCTGAGAACATTTAAAGGTAGAATTTAAAAGCATTTATTGTGTAATAAAGTCATACATACTGAAGCAGAAGTCTTCTGTCTTTATGAACAGTCTACAAATTTCAAACAAAAATTAGATTAAGTGTAATCTAATTTTTCATGAAGCAGAAATCATTATATTTGCGTAAATGTTTTTATTACAACTTTTATAATCCAAAGAGCAATATCGTTTCCTTCAGTTTTGCTAGTTTAATAGTAAAGAACTATTTCACTTGCGTCGTCTTAGGCAGAAATAGAATGTATTTGAACACCTGGCAGCTAGAGCACCTTTATATCACTAACATATCACTGTTTGCTGATCTTCTCGACGTGTTGACACACATTGACACAAATTTCTTCGTGAGTTGATCTTTTTCGAAGGTGAACTCACGCGTGAAATATTGTTTTACATACGTGCAGGAAATATTGATATATCGGTCTGTTGTTTACTCACTTAATGCTGTAAGAACATGAAACCCCGATGACAGACCGCTAGCACGATATCACAGCTTGTAATTGCCGGCACAAGTTTTAAATTTAGAAACAGTTATGTGACGATAAGTGTGGACTGGCATGAAAAAAAGGGGACTACGTATTTGAGTTGTTCTTTGTCGTCGTCGGAAGCAAGTGCTTGTAAGCCTGCAGCATGAACTTGTAAAATTTAAAATTTCTGCTTGAACATGATCTATTTTTTTGTTTGCCTTAATATTCGACAGAATTTGCATGTGTAGCGTTTTCTTTGTCACAACTTGTAAAACATTTCTCCATCTAGCCCTCAAATTTTTAAAATAAGACTTCTTCAGCTGTTTTCCTCCGTAAATCTATCACAGAGTAAACATTACTTTCGAAATATGAATATTACGTAATATTACTTACTTTGGCAGAATTAAAACTCCAATGAGAACTACTGGTAATATTATTTCAAATACAGTTCCAGCGGGCCGGCGGAACTTAAAGAAAAATATAGAAATAAATATTAGTCGCTTCGACGACGATTCTATTCAAGGCGACATAAGGCTTAAGTTTTGCTGTGTCATTTCATCTCCTTGTTTGTTTGCAACTTTCACTCCAACAACAAGAGCTCTACTAACCTGAAGGATAAAGTTCTTCCACACCAGCAAGCGAAATTGTCTAAAGCGATTAGCCATGGTAGAAAAGGGAAAGAAAATTGTCCTAAATCTATTCCATCTTTTCCCAAGTACGTTAGAAACGAAAGTGGACCGGACTGTCGCTCAAGTGCATGCCTCTTATTAATGCATATAATTAGGCACGGTTTAAATTTAGCATTCAAAATGGCGACCGAGAAATTGCAGCTGGTCCTTCAAGCAAAACCGGCGCGTCTCGGCGCAACTACATTCACACGTCACAGTTTTCTACGTAATTTTTTTGATGTTTCGTATAAATCCCTTCCCATATAGCCTTAATTACTAGTCTTCGAATTGCCTTTTAGCGCAGATTTTGCATCGCAACTGCAATTCCGTGCATTTAATTTACAGGTTGCCCCCGCGAATTTAATTTGTAAGTAAGCTTTTTTCAGCTGCCGTCCTCGTTTATTATGGCAACCAATCAGGCAAAGTATTATTTGTATAGGTTGCTACGTGAAGAGCAACGACGTAATAATTATCTAACAACTGAGCAAAGATTAGAGACAGTTGAAAACAGTTTTGAACAAAACACTTATTTTAGCCATTGAATTATCAATCAGCAAAGTAAAGGTGTAAATTTGGCTGTGTTTTCTGGAAAATTTATTTATTTTTAAAAACATTTTATTCATTCACTGTTTATCTACTATCTGAAGTTTTTAAAATATGTGGTTAGTTTACAATAATATATAATAAAAAATTAGAATTTGGTGGTGTAAATTTCGATGTTTCTCTTGTATAGCTTTACTGATTTAGAAGTATTAAATTCAATAAAAGCATTAAATCTTAGAGAATCCATTAATCGGCACTGCTTTGTTTTACATGTTTTTAACATCGTCTTGTTCGTGAATGTCGTACAAAAGCAACAATAATGCACCACAAGAAAATGTAAATTATTCCAAGCGAGATTTCTATTCAGCAACTAGCTAGCGAGCAAACGTGCTATGTCGCACGCTAATTGATAATCTTCGCTTCGTTAGCTCAAAGTCAGAGTTCGACGCTTTGTGTCTCAAAAGATAGTAAATGAATGCTCGATCAAACTTCTGCACCATTTTAATCACTTCAATATTATTTAAATTGTGACAGAAGGCCGCTTTCAGTCGAGCAGTTTTCAAGCCACAAAAATGCTTCTCGGTTTTGAAACGGTCCTTTTTCTTCATCGTCAATTTTTTTTTCTGAGTAATGACAGTCACATCAAACCCAGAAATAATCTTTGCGAAGTGAAAAACCTGTACTTTGCGAAATGAAAATCTGGCTGTAGAAAACATTTGCAACGTAATCAGCTTTTTTGCATTGTTTACTTGAGAGGAATAAGATAAATTGTTCCGCTAACTCCGTTTCTCTTGACAATACTGAGACCCCTACCAAAAGTATGAAATTTTCCACTGGGCTATTTCAGAAAACTACCCAAAATATATGCACAATTTATGCTGAATATTTTCCTTAGAACCGAAAATCTAAGGACAGGAAACCAAGGAATGACTTTTCGTTTCGTTTCGGAAGAACGAACTGAATGTTATGCATCATATGATGATCACATGATAAGTGAGGTCAATGATTTTAGTCAAGCTGCTTTGTAAAAAGTTCATCAAAGGAAACTAATTATCAAAATTTATACAATGCTATTGAATCTCAGCACTTGTAAACCAAGTCATGTGATCATTTGTAATGCATATTTCATGCTTATTTTCAATGATGACATGGCAGTGGCGTGATGTTATCCCATGCACGGTGCTTACGTAGCAAGTCATATGATTCTTATATTTTAAGTTTCTGACGAACTCAAATCATAGAGCATATCAGATCATATCAGGGCTTAGTAAACTTAATATTAATCTTTATTTGCTGCTGTGTGGGGTGAAATTGTTGTTAAAGAGAGCTAAAGAGATTCTCTCTCAAAAGTGTCTCACATTGAGCAGAAACCCTCAACAAACCTTCTGGAGCGGGTTTTTCAAAGCCTGATTGAGCTAACCCAGGTTTAGAGAAAATTTTGCTTTTAGTTTAGTAACTTTTCGGTGGAGTTTTCTGCTTATATCGTTTGCTCTCTAGTTTTGAGTTTAAATAATCTCAAACTAAGCAAAGTACAAGCAGTGAAAAACAATTTTTTACGAGAAAGAATAATACTTAAGTTAACTTTTAATTTTGGGTTAGCGTAAACCGGCTTCCGAACAACCTTTCAATCCCCAGATCCCCAGATTGTGCTCGCCACCTTCCCTGCATGTTCGCTCGTCCCTACAAACTGAGAGCCTGGAACAGGCAAGGGGAGCTTGCACTTGATGCTGTATCTCAGCATTTGTATGACAGTACATTTGATCTTTGACTTCACAGATCTTTACCGATCCTGAATACTTATTTTCTCAACCTTCACGACTTAGATCTTAGCAGATGATCATCATACAGTTCGTTGAATCAGAACCAAAGGGGTTTCTGATTCATCGAATATTTTCTTTACGTTTCCCCTACATATCAAGAACTTACAAGCTTAAGCTAAGTATCTCAGGCCCCACTGAGAGCTGTGCTTGTTTCCTTTTTAGGGAATTCAAATCTTTGGTCAGCCGGAGAGAAAAAGTAAAACTCTGAATATCGTGAAAATATATGATAAATCATAGAAATCTATGTTTTGCTAGGCATAATACTCCCTGGCTTTCAAAGAAAGAAGAAATTTAATAAACATTACCGCGGCAAGCTAAATAATGTCTTTTTTCACGTTGGATTGACCGCCTTTTCCCGAAGGACTTTTTTTTTCTCTTTCCCAATTTTCGCTTTTTTTCCCTAAGTAATGACAGTCGCTTCAAGCCAAGAAATAAACTGATCCTCAAGTTTCTGTGTTAGATTATATTAAACTGTAGCCTTGAATTTTGTTAGCCGTAGGAATACATTTGCTACGTAATCAGTTTTTTTGTATTGTATACTTGAGAGGATTAGAAATAATATTGGGCTCTCTCTGTTTTTCTTAACGCTGGCTCTAAACAATACTGGGAGGCTCCGAAAAGTATCAAATTCTCCACATTGAGCAATGCCATCTCTTTTCCTTAAAACCGCCGAAAATCTAAGGGCAGGAAAGCAAGGGATGACTTACAGAATGTTTTCGTTTCGTTTCGGAAAAACGAAGTGAATGTTGATGAAACACATGATGATCACATGATTACGGAGGTCAAGGTTTCTAGTCAGGTTTCTTTGTAAAAGTTAAACAAAAATAAACTAATTATCAAAATTTATACAATGCTAAATTTCAGCATTTCTGAACCAAGACATGTGATTATTTGTTTAGCATATCTCATGCTTATTTTCAATGATGACATGGCAGTGGCGTGATGTTATCCCAGGCACGATGCTTACGTAGCAAGTCATGTGATTCTTATATTTTAAGTTGCTGACGAAATCAAATCATAGAACATATCACGGTTCAGTTAACTAAATATTAATCTTTATTTGCTGCTGTGTGGAGCGACATTGTTGATACACTGTAAAAGCGATTCTTTATGAAAGGTGAGCAGAGACCCTCAACAAACCAGGTTGTTCGAAAGCCGGTTAATGCTAACCGAAGTTAACCGAAGTTAACCGAAGTATCAACTTTTCTAGTGTAAAAATATTTTTCACTAGTTATGTTTTGTGTTGTTTGAGATTACTCAAGCTCAAAACTGAAGGACAAACAATATAAATGGAAAATCTCATCG